CCTGTATCTATTCATGGATGGCTGGGCATAGCATTCACGTACTCAGCTGGGAGTGATTTTGCACGATGGTGGCTGTGAGTGATCAGAGCCTGGAGAGGTCTGCTATTCACTAGCAAAGCAGTGTAAAAGGCACCCTGGATTGGAGATTTAAGGGGACACAGCAGTTCAGGTTGCACCTGGAGGAAGTCACAAACCCTCCGGAAGCATTCCTGCCTCTTGAAGCTGGGTCAATGAACTTTGCAAAGACAGCACATATCTACACCCCAGCAAGAGCAAATAAGCTTTGCCTGGGCTTATTTTTCAAATAATACATTTCAGTGATTTCCTGGTCTATAGAAAGAAAGGGGAGACAACCACATAATTATCTGTCACTGCAGGGACTAATGGGGCCAGAGCTCTTGAAATCATAGAATGATGGATCCTTGAGCCAAGGGAGTTGAAGTCTCTGGGAACTGAATACAGGTGAAAAATCTGCTTAGCAAAGACTAATTTGCTGAAATTTAGTTTTAGTCTTAAAAGACCTGTTTTTACTTTTGTTTGCTTGTAATCCCTTCCATCTTTATTCCTTATGCTTGGTATCACTTAAACTTTTGACTTTATTACATTTGTTTTAATTTTACTATAAACAAATTCAGTGTTTTGGTTAAAATAGAGTATTTGTTAACCCCAGTTAAGGTAACAAGCTGCTGGGGCAGTACCTTTAGCTTTAGGAGAGCAGCAGATTTATCTTCTATAAGTATACACCAAAAGGGCTGGACAATACAGGGCAGATAGCTTTGTGGAAATTTGGGACAGAGGGGTGTTGAGGTCACCCTGCAAAAGTACATGGCCAGTAGAAGCTAGAGTATGACCTGGATGCTTGGCTGCTGGTATCAGAACAGTGAGCCACTGCACCATAGCATTTAAGGCACTCAAAGTTTACAGGGCAGGCGATGACAAAACTCCTTACTGATCTGGGTTGAATCTCAAAGTGTCAAAGGCCCTCAAACAAACAAATCTATGCATTGTGCAGTGCAGAAGAAACCCTCCAAAAACATGCTAAAATATTTGTTAAATAGTGCTGATTTCTTCCGGGCCCTTCAAAGATCCATTTGTAATATAATTAGTTTGTTTTATGGAAGATAACCCTAATCTTAGTTTTTCTACCCAACTTGCAAATCAATACTCTAACACAACTGCACAATGGAAACAGAAGCTGCTCAGAGCCCCAAGATCTACAGCTAAAACCAAAAAGGCACATCAGCCCTGATATCTGCTACTTGCATCCACTTTTAATCTGCAAGGCAAAACAAGGTTTTTATAAAAAATAAAATTCACCCTGTGCAAAGGGGCCACACAAAGCCTATACATCACTTAAGGCTTCATTTGGAGAACTTTGGGTTTAAAGACTGCAGAGAGTGAATTCCAATAGCACAGTTTAAGTGAAAGTTTCTGTTCTGCTACACACCTGCTATTTTATTGTAGGGTGGTTCCTTTCTCCCCCCATATCTCTATAAAGATACACCTCTACCCTGATAGAACGCTGTCCTTGGGAACCAAAAAATCTTACCGCGTTATAGGTGAAACCGTGTTATATCGAACTTGCTTTGATCCGCCACAGCGCACAGCCCCAGCCCCCTGGAGCGCTGCTTTACCGCGTTATATCTGAATTGTGTTACATCAGGTCGTGTTATATCGGGGTAGAGGTGTAGCTCTAACAAAATTCCTTCCATTCTATCCCAGGAGCTACATTAATTTACTTAAGTCTAGCACAATTTTTCATTTTTTTTTTAAAGTGAATTTGTTCTACAATTATATTAGTTTGACTGAGAAAGTAGGGCAGTAAAGGAATGTAACAGGGAGGCAGAGGAGAAGGCAGTAGACTAGAGTCAGGAATCCTGGATTCTAATTCCTGGATTCACCAATGACCTGCTATGTGACCTTGGGTTAGTCATTTCATCTACATGACTCAGTGTTTCTCATCTGCAAAATTAGGATAACAATACTTTCCTTCTTTTGTAAAGCACTTTGAGATCTACAAATGAAAAAGTATTATGATGATGATTATATTACATACCTTCTCTTCCGCAGTTCAATGTTCGCAGCATCCATTTCATTCAAGAGATGGCCAGGAACCCGATATCTTGGATTTGCTTGTGCTGTGACCAAAGGAAGCTGGTTAGTTTGGATTTAGTTGTGTAAAGCCATACTGACAGGCTTGGAAGTGGCTCAAGGCCAGACCTCCCAATATGGTAATCTTTGAAAGTCTTTAATGAAGAAGGTGGTGGCTTCTCTTATAATACAGTCTTCAGTTACAGGTAGATACAACATGCAAATTTTATTTCTGTTTATATTCCTATTAAGTGTTACTTAATGAAATATTAGGCATAACTGTTACAGTATAAAAATTGTTGCTTGTATTTTCATTAATTTGCCAGTTTGTGGAAGAGGCTGGAAAATCTTGGCATCTGGAGACTATTAGATGCCTAATTTATCACTACCATTCACACCACCCCATTAAATCTCCTGCTAACCCTTTCCTCCATTATGTAGTGGAAGGATTTTTCTATTCCTTCTGAACAGAAAATATATATAAGAACTCCACTGCTGGGTTGTTGGGTTTTTTGTTTGTTTGTTTGTTTTAAGTAAAAATAATTTTGTGGTGGTAAGAAGAGTATGGTGAGTATTTTTCATACCTTCAGATGGTCTTTTCAACTGGGATTTTCGATAAAACAGCATGTAGGCACTCTCTTTACCCTGAAATTGTTTCTCAATATCCTTCTCCTTAATGGGCTGGACTTTTGAATCATTCAAGTCAAACCAATGGGAACCAGAGGCGCTGTCCTTTAGCACTGTACATAGACTTTCTGAAGTCCACTGGACATCATTGTTCTGAGAAGGGCTTTGCAGAACTTGTCCTTGGCAATCTGACCCAAACTGGAGCTGATGGTACATCTCCTTTAGACTAACCTTATTATCATCAGGACTAAGTTGAAATATCTGAGAATGATTCTGCAAATACTAAAAAGGAAGAAAAACAATAGTGTCATAATGAAGAAAACATCTATTAAATGTGCAAAGCTGCATTTGCCACCTCCAAGCCTTCTTTGCATAGCTTGACCTCCCTGAAGGAACAACCACTTTTAGGTATCTCCAAAAAATCTGCTTCTGCCATGCTTCCTATAGTGATTCATCTTGATTTGTATAGAAACCCCCCTGTGTTGCTCCCTTCTCCCTCATGAGTCAATCCTTGGGCTGCAAGCTCCTCAGGGCAGGAACCTTCCCTTCTTGTCTGTAAAGTGCCAGCCACATTGTAAGCACTACCACAAACAAAGAAAAAAATACAGCATCAAGAGTGAGATCACGAATTTTGAAGTCACGAATTTTAAAGTTACTGGCCTAAATTCATTTGGTACTCAACTTGACACCATACAAGGACCCCAGTTTTCCAAAAGTGCTTTGCTCCTGCCTTCTGAAGAAGAATGTAGAGAGTGTCCCTCACCTAAACAGAATACAGCTTGGTCCATTAGCACACTGTAGCTTTCACAGAACTTGAACCTTGGTCTCTCTCAGCTTTTGCCATAACCCCACTTACCTGACACCCCCCAAAAAAGTCTACAATGAGAACTACAGGAAAAAAAACCTTCAGTAAATTAAAGTGTGAAATAATAAAGATAGGTTAGGGACTGACAGCCCAAACAGGCTCCCAAAGTGAATACAGAAAACTAAGAACAGCAACGTGGCAAACAGACATAGTAAACACCTTTGATAAAGTAGAACTGCACATAAGTGCCCAAAGGACAGGGTTGTTTCCTAAACTCCCAGAATTTTTCTATTTAGTTTTTATTTATTGTATGTCATTTTGTTTTCTTCTTGTATATGCTTCTCAGCAAGTCTCCAGAATAAAACCCGTGCTGCAAGATTTTTGTTGAACTAATATCGTTCATTAATTTAAGAGAGAATCATCTGTTCCAGTGGCCTACCTCTGGAGATGAACAGGATAGATAAGTAACATGGCACTGAGTTGACAAACAACACCGTTATCAAGCCCAGCAAACAGACAAATTGAAGTGGAATGTTGGGTGGGAAGTAGGACAGCGGCGGGAGAAGAAAGATGATAAACCAGAACAAGGATTTTCCATGGATGAAAATTAATACTTTATATCACTGTACCATACCAATCAGAGCTTATGGACTTTAAATTGGTCATTCGTCCATAGGATAGTGGGTTTTGGCACAGACCAGGGCCTTTATATTTCAGGAGCATCCAGCGGGCCCAATCTTGATTGTGCCAAGTGAAGTACAAACACACATAAAGACACGCCCTGCCCCAGACAGTTTACAATCTAAGCACTTTATATAGTAAATCCAAACCTCAGATAAGTGTAATTTCTGATCACTAACAAAAGCACATTCTTGAAGTATCAAATGAGTTGATTTCAGTGTATGTTCATATAGTCTCATTCAAATAAGCACACACATGCATTAATCAGAACATGTCAGACAGATCTGTTCACTGAATGTACGGACATCATGAAAACCCACACAAATGTGCATGCACATTATAGTTGATAACAGACATTCAATCATGACAGAAAACATTGTGCATGTTCAGTATGCCCTTTTGCTCATAGGTTATTTCTCAGTTTACTTTCAATCTCAGGAAAGCAGCTACTCCTCTAAGACAGCTCTGCTTGAATTTCACAATTTAAACTATTTTTGAATTATTCAAAATGTGAAAATTTTGCATCTCAGTGAATTTTTCTCGGGAGTGCTCAGGACTGCAAGTCACCTTGCTTACTGATTGCGTGCTCTCTCTCTCTCTCTCTCTGTGTGCGTGTGTCAGCAAGAGAGAGACTTCTAGTGCTAAACTGGGTGTCAGCTCCATGTCACTCTAATCCGTTAGCCATCAAAACAATCTCATCAGAAGCTCTGCCAGCCTTTACCTTGCCTTGCAGATTAACTCTAGGTGCACCCCAATCCTTGAGCCCCCTTGAACAGCATTCCTCTGTAGTATCCAGTCCCTGACACCGGACACTCACAGAAATCACCAAGTTCGCTGTCTCC